ACATAAGGTATCTAAGAAGCTGGAAGGTCTGCTGCTGTCGGGGTAAAGCAGAATGGGGTAGGATGCGGGACCCTGGTGGGCAGCAGTGTCCAGACAATGCCTGGGCGTAACATGAAGAGGCATCTGACTTTGTCCTGTAGGTACTGGGGAACCGTTGTGAATTTTTAAGCCGGGGAGTAAAATGATAACATTTTTACTTAGAAATAAATCCCTCTCTCTCAAATGGCAGAAAGAAAGGTGGCAGCAGCACAGAGATGCTAAGTTAGGAGCTCACTGAACGGCAGCAGACTCGCAATCAAATGGCAGAATGAGCCCAGGCATCACGACCCTTCCCCTACTCACCCCCAAGCGGCAAAATGGCAAATGAAAAAAATACGTCTGTTTTTTATTCATGTTGGAAGTAAGCGCTGAGCCCACCAAGGTGTCACCAAGGGCAGATGGGTACAGATGGGAAGACACCGAGAGCCAACTCCTTGTAATGATCAAGTCAGGATGGCATGTGTGTTATAGCAGGTAGGCACGGGGGCTTCCGAAATCCATGAATATTCCCTAATTGGGAAAGAGGGTAGGATATGGAACAGACGAGAGGCGCCTCGCCTCTCCCGGCTCCCGGTCGTGCCCTGGGAAGCCCTAGACGAGAGGAAGCTTGGTCAGACAGGGGCCCTGTTAAACCTGGGAGAACAGACTAGTACGAATCGACAGAGCCACGTTGGCCGGCCATCTGGGATGGCAGCCAGACCAAGCAGAAAATTAAACCCAGCAAACCGGGCCCTGGTTCACAGGCTTTGCCCAGCCTGGAAGAGACAAAGTCTCCCTGCTCCTAGGACATTGAATGAGGTAAACTTTGATCAACCATCTCTTAAAGTTAAAAATCCAGTGATTAAAATTCTAATTTTAAGGGCTCCAACAAGAATCCAACAAATTTGCTGGCAAACATCAGAACTGGATTTGTCCTTTTGGTTCGCAGATCAGTGAGTAATTAACATGGATTTGTGAAAATATGACATAACCTAAAAACATGGAGGAAAAGCATCATTCAAGACCTGAGGCATGAGGATATTTGTGGAAAGGATTTACTATGAGAAACAAGATTTCTGTTTTCATGGTGTATATAAAGTTCAAGAAAACATGGAATCGATTTGATAACAGGTGAATGATGACACTCTAAGACGACAAAGGGTGACCCAGCCGGATTGAGTTAGGGTGTATGAGAAAGATAACGATCATCAAAAATGAATTTAAAACAGAATTTTAATCAGTTGGGATTAACAACTGAGAAAATGGAAAAGAAAATCCTCAGCTGTTCAGAAAAAAAAAAAAATGAATAAAGCCAGGTCCCTATTGCCTTCCATACACCAAAATCAAATTCCAAGTACAGTAGGACTTAAATATAGAAACAAATCATGAAAGGAACCATAAGAAAGAAGGAGACCATTTATGTAAACTCGAGTATATGAGGAACATATATGCTGAAGAGACTGACAAAACTTTGACTAAATAAAAGTTCATACTTCGAAATTAGAAAACATAATTTCACGTTAAAATCATGCCCACTGCGCCAATGAGTCTGCACCTTAAAATGTGTCTAAAGGAAACAGGAGACAGATGTCAACTCTGTTCATCTCGCTCGCAACACGAAGAACTGGACATAAACTAAATAGCTAACAAGTGGACTTTGGCTAATAAGTTATAATACTTCATATGATGGCAGGCTTTGCAGCTTTTAAAATTATATAGTAAAAGAATATTTAACAACAGGAAAAGGTTCGTGATGTATTGACAAATGAGAAAAAAAGCAGGTCACAAAACATTACCCATACACGGAGAAGAGGTTAGAAGTGGTTTTCTCTGGGGCTGAGTCTAAGTTTTATTCCTTGTGTTAGTTTTTAGTTGTTTTTTTTTTATTCTCTGACATTTCTTTTAAATTAACGTACTGCTATTTTCATAATCAGAGAAAAGATATAATACACAAACAGTAACACTGAACGTTCAGAGTAGGCGACGTTGGCTTGGTCAGGGAGTGTGTATGAAGCGGAAGGGGCAGGGGCGCAGAACAGAGCCAGGCGAGCAGCTGGAGGTGAGAGGGTCTGGTAGTGCATCTGTGTCCTTAAAGCAATGAGGCCTGTCCGTCAGCCTTAAGGGTGGGGTTGTTAACGTGTAACTGAATTTGCTTCTTGTTCATTCACCTACGCCTCCTTTGGGTTCCATGAGTGGGGCACAGAGGACACTTTGGTCAATTCACACTCTCCCTGACCACCGCCGTGGTCAGAAGGAATCCTCAAGCATCCTCTCTCTCCCGTGCGGCTCAGGGAATGGGGCGCCAGCACCCCGGGTCCCCTCAGAGGTCTAGATGGAAACACACGCACTCCCCAGTTACCCCCATCCCACACTTACCCCTCCAAGCCGGTTCCAAAGGCTTAAGAGAGAACCTGTCATTCAAGGCTAAAGGAAGAGGTTCTTTAGAATCCTTCCACTCCTCCCCCTCCCCAGGACTCCTCAGAAA